GTGTAAGCCTAATGCCTAAATACTCAGCATGAGTACCAGCTGTGATTAAGCACACATATCATTTTTAGGGGTGCAGGAAATCAGTAGATCACCTATTCTGCTATTAGATATATAGAAAAAATATTGGTGGAATTATAGGATGAATGTGGATAATACAGTTTTGATAGCTCAGTTTCCCCTTTCTTAAAAGAAAAAAAACTATAGTATTTTCAACGTATATCAGTTTAAACCATGAAAATATGGATTACCCTAGAGAACCATAGCCTTATGGATCAAGCATGAAAGAAGGAAAGTGAGAAGTAGATAGCTACCTAAATAGATGTTATCAGACAACGGACAATGATTTTCTAATCTATGGCTCATCTGCATTTCTAGAAAAGAATATAATGTGCATTTTCTAAGAACCAGAGAAACTCTAATATGCTTGCTTGAAGCAAATTTCACTGACATGATCAAGATTATTTAATCTAAACTATAACAACATATGCCAAACTGATTAAACTCATAATAAAACTATAAAATATATGCACTGTAGATTCTTAGTTAACATCTACATACACTTCCAGTAACTTACCATCACACTAAAAATAAAACAGGGATTAAAAATAAAACCATTAATGGAAAATATGCCCAGTAACCAGAAGAAAACAAAGAAGTTTAAGAACAACTAGGCAGATGTTTGTAGACCAGTGTACCTGGTTGGCATAGTAATCAATGGAAATTTAAATTTATGTCATAATAAGGTTAGCATTATCTAAAGATTCTGAGATTTGGTAGAATATGTTCCATGTTAGGAAAGATACCACCTCTCATTCTAAAGAAATAGATCTAATAGTAGTAAAGGAAGAAAAACTATATAATGATATACTACCAGGGGAGATGCCTGTGAACCTGAAGCTTAAAGATTTGTGCAAGTTCTTTGGGTAAGGATTTAAAAAAGAAAAGCTGAAGTGATATTGTTAGAAGAGACTATGATAGGTCACCCAATTAACCACTTTCCTTTAGCTTCTGATACACTTTCTTCCCTCTAGCTGGTCCATCTTACACCTCCCCTGATATATCCTCTTCCTCTGTCATTCCTAAATATTGGTGTTTCACCAGGCTGCTAGACGCCGCTCTCATCTACATCTGTGAATTTCCTCATTGATTGCAATTATTGCTGTCTCTTATTTTCACCTGTAAACAGTTGATTCCTAAAGTTATATCTTCCACACTGATAACTCTTCTAAGCTTCTGTTTTCGCTCACTAGGTCATAGTCACTCAAATACAAGACATCCAAACTGAAACTATGTATCATTTCCATAGAATGTGACCCGTGTCTTTCCACAGCCCTCATCTTAGTAAATAGCATAGCCATCAATTCAGTTAGAAGTCTTTTTCCTTCACTCTTCTGCCCGCTTTGTAATTGCTTTCAAGCCTAGTTCTGAAATGTCTTTACCAATTGATTGTTTTCTCCAGCACGGTGACTTAGTCTGTGCCCTTATAATCCCTGTCCGTCCTCTTGTGATAGCTTTTTGACTGGTTTCTTCACCTCCAGTCTCTGCCTGCCATCACAACCTCTTGCCTTTTCAATCTGTCTCCCCTACCGCCACCACTAGTTCCAGCCTTGAGACAATGTATTTCACGTCTCATGCCTTAGGTAGGGTTGGGGTGATTGCCTCTTGGAGTTATATAAGATATTCATACACTGGGTGAGAAGTTGGCCTGATAGTCAGTAAGGCTAAATTGCCAATCAAGGACCAAGGATGGTTGTACAGAGCCACTGATGTTGCTTATTCCAAATAAGATTCCTTTGCTCCAACACAATTCACTGACTCAAAAATATCTGAGTTTTAGACCCTTGAATTATATTTTTGTAGGCTTTCCCAGTGATTGTGATATACATCCATTTTTTGAAAACTCTAAGATCTTATTTAATTATAAGATTCAGTGATTATAACACTAATCAGAGTCCAATTTGCTATTCTAAGAGAATAGTTACAAAAGTATTTTGTGCAATGGCAGCATCATTAAAATAAACATAAAGACTTCTGAGTGGCTCACACTGAATGAAAAACATTCATTTGAACATATAAATTCTGGAAAATTTGTGAAAATAATTACATCACATTAGAGGCATGCCTCATGCACATTTTTTCCAACACATATATCTAATGAGTTTTCTTTAGTTTCACACATGATGTTAATAGGTTGCACATGAAAAGCTCAAGAATATATTTGATAAAAATAGTGCCGAATGCTATCCTATGCAAAGTATTTAAAAATTAGGGCATTAATTACATTTAGATAAACACAATTAAGATTTAGCAGAACAGCAGAAAAAATGGGGTAAAATTAAAACCATTAAAGTAAATATTTATATTTTTTTCAGTTTATTTTTTTAGCTAATGAAAGAATTCCTGCCTCATATACCACATAACATGTTTCCAACATCAGGAAATTCCTGTGGACTTTAGTAGCCCATTACCTAGCAGTAGAAACAAGCCTCTATATAATTAACTATAGTAGATAATAAATTTCATTGTCAAATTAGTGCTATAAATAAACTGTTATGAAAGACAAAAAGATAGCAATGATTAATTCAGCCTTTTAAAAAGTCTCTTCAAGGAGCAAATTTGTAAATATAAACCGAAACCCTATGGTATCAGAGGTTGAATTCCAGTATATCGGAAGCATATGGAAACACAGATGACTGAATATGGATACAAGGTGTATTCATTAGCAATGAGATATGTATTTGTTTATTATTAACTACATTATATAAAATAACTGTTTTATATTTAGTTTGGGCTATACACACATTTTTTAAAGTTAAAAGCACTTTGTTTCAACATTAAATGCACAATTTTTTAGAATAAAATTCATTTCCTGTAGAAACAACTTTGCAAAGTGTGCTGAGGAGCCCAGAGACGGACATATAATGAATTTAGCTATAATACTAATAGTACTATCTGAAACATAAGACCTTAAAGCAAGAGACCAGAAGGGTAAAAACAAGTGGAAAAAGAATGTTTCCTTTCCTGTCCTTTACTACAACTGAGCTATATGCTTAGACGTATTTTGGAAGGAACGCATGCTTCTTTACTAACATATTATTGCCTCCCCTACCTCCCAGTAACCATCGATATTCAAAGCCACTCACTAAAACACCCTTAATCATGGGATATAGCAAGTTAATAGGAAAACCTTATCCCTATACCAATTAGGATGTGCTTTGCCTGCTTATATTAGGGGAAAAAAGTGGCTTAAACAAGGGAGATGTAGATTTACATAGTCTAGAGGTAGCTGGTAATTCCATGGCTATCAGGGATTTGGGCCCCCGACATATTTTCCTCTTCCAAACCCAGAACATATTTTCTGTCCTTAAAGTTACCGTAAAGTCCAAGATAACCGCTGGAGCTCTAGCCATCACATTTATATTCCAAATGGCAGAAGGAGAAAGCAAGGAAGGGCAAAAACGATATTTTCCAAGATGAGTCATTTTCCTTTATGGAGTCCTCTGTTTACATCTTATTTGCCATATTTAACTCCAAGAGTTGCTGGAAAACGTACTATTTTAACTGAATCCTTTACCATCCCAAATGAAATTGGAATCTGTTGCTGAGGATGAAGGAGAGAATGGATATTTGCAGGCAATCAGTAATCTGCCATATCCCTCAAATGCCCGGTGCTTCAGATTACTTACCTCCTTCCCTACTCACCAGTGAAGCTATCTCAATTCTATGAAAACAAAACAAACACACACACACAAAAAACTCTGATAGGAATGATCCTCCTAGAGCAATAGTTCTCAACTTAGGCTGCACATTAGAAGTACTTGCAGAATCTTTTAAAAATCTTGATGTCCGGGCCACACCCAGGCCAATTAAGTCAGAAACTTGTGCAGTGAGATCCGGGTCTCGGTATTTTTTTTTTTTAATCTATATGTAATTCCAGTGTGCAGCCAAATTTGAGAACCACTATCCTAAAATAAAAAAGAAAAAGAAAAAAAATTTAAAAAGACAGGTAACCCCAGTGACACTATATTCTGTCACTTTTTTCTGCTACATAATCAAGTGATATAAAAACTGCATACCATGAGTAAAGAATAATTTTGGGGGTGGTGGGACTTCCCATACCTGCCAATTATTTGCCTTTGGGATCATTTTTCTTATAAGAACTAACGCCCTTTTTTTCCAACACAATCTTCTCTTCTGTAACATCTAAACCACAAGATTCTCTGAAAATCCCAACCTCTCTTTACTAATGTTGGTCATTTTTGATACCTTTATTTTTCACAAACTCCCACATCCACTCAAACACTCTATATGGCTCCAAAATAATTCTCAAATTTGTCCACACCTTTATCTCATCCAAGATCCACACAGCAACCAACGGGATGATTAAAATAAAACACACACACAAATCAGATCCTACCATTCCTATACATAGATTCTAGAATAATTTCCTATTGATCTAGGACTCTCTGATCTGCAAAATCCCCCTCTTACCTACTCCCTGGGGCTCATCTTAGCCCACTTAGCACACTATTGCACAGCGGCTTCCTTTCCTGCCCCTTCCTTATAGTAGCCTCTGTTTGCCAACCATACGGAATCCCCAAACTCGGTCAAACCAACACATTCATTTGTTAATTCCTGCTGGAAGATGCCTTGACTGCCTTCATAAGCTGGGTCAGAACCATGCTATACTTCTTCATGGCCCTCGTTAGAGTTATACGTAATCGTTTTAAAGGCCCCCAATTATTTTTTATGAAGTCAGGGAACATATTCATCATTATTTTGTTTCAGGACCTAGAACTGCTCCCATCACAGAATACCTATTCAATATTATAAAGATAAAGGTTTTCTGAGTGAATATGTGAAGGAATGAGTAGCATGGGATACTGAAATTAGAAAGGTAGTTGGGAGACAAACTGAAATGGTCATAAACAGCTGCTTGTAACTTAGGGGTATATGACCCAAGTAAACGTCTTTTACAATATGTGTCTGTGTCTTTGCAGGTTGTGATTTGATCCCAGTACAGTATCTTCGATGGGGTGACCCTGAGCCCATCGCAGCCGTGGTGTTTGCCTGTCTGGGTCTGCTGGCTACCCTGTTTGTTACTGCAGTCTTCATCATTTACCGTGACACACCAGTAGTCAAGTCCTCCAGCAGGGAACTCTGCTACATCATCCTCGCTGGCATCTGCCTGGGCTACTTGTGTACCTTCTGTCTCATTGCAAAACCCAAACAGATTTATTGCTACCTTCAGAGAATTGGCATTGGTCTCTCTCCAGCCATGAGCTATTCGGCCCTTGTAACCAAGACCAACCGTATTGCAAGGATCCTGGCTGGCAGCAAGAAGAAGATCTGTACCAAAAAGCCCAGATTCATGAGTGCCTGTGCTCAGCTTGTGATTGCTTTCATTCTCATATGCATCCAGCTGGGTATCATCATCGCCCTCTTTATAATGGAGCCTCCTGACATAATGCATGACTACCCAAGCATTCGGGAAGTCTACCTGATCTGCAACACCACCAACCTAGGAGTGGTCACTCCTCTCGGATACAATGGATTGTTGATTTTAAGCTGCACCTTCTATGCTTTCAAGACCAGAAATGTTCCGGCTAACTTCAACGAGGCCAAGTACATCGCCTTCACAATGTATACCACCTGCATTATATGGCTGGCCTTTGTGCCAATCTACTTTGGCAGCAACTACAAAATTATCACCATGTGTTTCTCAGTCAGCCTCAGTGCCACAGTGGCCCTAGGCTGCATGTTTGTGCCGAAGGTGTACATCATCCTGGCCAAACCAGAGAGAAATGTGCGCAGCGCCTTCACCACGTCCACTGTGGTGCGCATGCATGTGGGGGATGGCAAGTCATCCTCTGCAGCCAGCAGATCCAGCAGCCTAGTCAACCTTTGGAAAAGGAGGGGATCCTCTGGAGAAACCCTAAGGTAAAAGTTGTGGAGACACAGTGGGGCACTGTCCCCTATAGCTGTAGCAGTGGCATTTGCTTCCTGGGTCTTTTAAATGGGTAAAATCTGAGTGAATGAAACTATGGGAGGTACGGTGCCTTAGGAATTGGGACCTTCTCATTGAATGATTTCTATGTGGTTAATTGGATGTGGGTCCAATTACTTAGGCCAAGGCAGGAAACATTGAAGTTGAGGTCTCTAATAAAACAAAGAGTTATACCAAAAAGGCAGTGAGGTCAACAGGGTAGTGAGAGCACTGTTAAGTCAATAAGCCAAGGCAAGGACCCCCAAGTCCTCGGGGGACAGAGATACATTGTGGGCTATATTCTAGTTCATCAGAACAGAGTAGAGAAAATTTTTGTTAACAAAGAAGATTATGCTGACAGCAGAATGCCCCAAAGCCTAACGCATCTGAGTGCACTTGCACAGGCCTGAACTGTATTCAAGTCCAGGAGAGCTCTTGAATGCCCACCACATAGAGGCAGGAGAATGTAGAACTTATATTTTAGTTCTTAATGGGCAAGTTGAACTCTTTGGGAGATGTCTAAATAACTGAAAAGGACAAAACAACAAAGTGGCTTTGCATACAATAGTCCTGAACAACCAGTGAGTTTCTCAATTCTCTGTTGCCTGTAGTCCCATCCTACATTCAAGTTCAATATCATAGGTAGTAGTTATTGGACAATTTCTATCTGAAAAGAATGTGGAGCCAATAGCCAATGATTTCCTCCCATGGGAGGGACTTCCTTATATGATAAAAGATCCCAAAGCACTTCAAAAGACAGTAAGACAATGTTATCAGTGTCTTAGGAACAAATTCTTAAGTATAGAAAAGGCTACATAGATTGTTGATAATTAGGAATAAATATCTACTTATTCCCATAGACTAGGAATAAAGAGCTTCTCTATTTAAGTAGCATATATCAAAAGAGCCAGTCAGGACATCAGCCCTGCTAAATCTACTGAGATATGATAGTATTTCTAAAATCTAGACAAATAAATGAAAGATACATATCTTTCAATGGAAGATAAATATCTAAATGATATTGCTTGAACTACTCTCGTATACTGTTACTTAGGCTGTCTGAAAGTTCTACTTTTCTACCAGCCCCAATTCTCCAAAGCATGCATCATGGTGACAGTAAAGATACTGTGTCTGCTAAGGTTTGAAAAGGACTCACAAGATACTTGAAATTTATCCACAAGGCCTAATTCATTTACGTTATTAACTTGTACCCTTGCCTCTTCCAATTCTTTTCTGATTCCTTTACACTTCTCATCTCTTTCCAAATACATTGTGCAAGATATTAAACTACATTGTAATTTGTGTCTTCTCCTTCTTAAATAATTCCTGGTAATGTCATAGTCTGTACACAAAAGGACTTCCATATATCTAATATACTGATGACCTATTTTCCATCTGCCTTCCTGATTCCTCTGTAAAACATTCTTTTTTTCTGAAACTTCAGCAAGATCAGCCTTTCATTTTGGCTAAGAAAATTTATTTTTCAAACTTTTGTTTTATCATCTTTTCTTCAAACCTTTTCTTCAAACAAAATCCTTCAGGGAAGCCTGATATATAAAACAGACAGGTTGATAGAGGGAGGGAGTTGTGAGTCTATGTCCAACAACCCCAAAAACTCACCAAAGAAGGCTCCTTAGAGAGACAGCATGGAGTGACAGCAAAGAACATAGTCTGTGTAGTCAAGCTATCCTTAGTTTGAACATTGGCACTGCTGTTTCTTCTTTCTGTAACTTATTTTTTTTTTCCATCTGACAAATCAGAATCATATCCCATACCTCACAGGATTATAAAAAGTGAAGGTTAGACACATAGCAGACACTTTATTGCAGGTATCAGGGTGTATTGCTAGAGAGTACTGGGATTGTTTTATGACCATACCACCCTGAATGTGCCCGATCTCGTCTGATCTCAGAAGCTAAGCAGGGTCGGGCCTGGTTAGTACTTGAATGAGAGAGTCCTGGGATTGAATACTGGCAGCAGCACTTACCAAGTGTGTAACCTTAGGCAAATACACTTAACCTCTCTATGCTTGATTTCCTTCTCTGAAAAATGGAGATAATAGAATACATACTTCAAGGAGTGGTTGTGAGAACAGAATGAGTTAACATATGCAAAGTTTCTGTCACATGGTAAGCATTTCTTAAGTATTTGCTTTTTGATTACATAAGTTTGCTTAACTATAAAATGGTAGATAATTTCTGTTTTGGGTAGTAAATGAGGTAGCGTGTGTTAAGTGTTTAGTATCAGCGCACATAGGAAGTACTCAATAAATGGGAGCTAAACCTTTTATAATTGTGTCTAGCTGCAAGTAACAGCAAGCCTATTTTCAGAGGCTTATACTCTTTGTTTGGGTTTCATTTTCCTCATGTTGCAAGAAGTATGGAAGGAGATTGCTCCTGGAATTTGTTTCAGTGTTGCTGGAGCCAAAACCTCTGTCAGTCTTCTTCCATCCCTGAAAGTCACTGTGTCAGGTATGCAATCAAAATGATCTTAATTACAAAGCAACCATCATAAAAGGCAGTACAAATCTATGGAGACATTGATTATACAGCCTGGGTTTTTCAGGGCATCTCCATCTTTATGCTGTTCAGCTCCCTTCCAGACAGTATAACACATTCTGTGTTCCAATTTAAGCAGAGCAAGCTCCGTGGGAGTGGGGCCTTATCTACCTTGTTCATCACTGTGCCTCCAATGCCTGCCTGCACCTGGAACAGTGTTTGGCACACAGGAGATGCTCAGTGATGATTTTTGGTATGTTTGTTGAATGAATGAATTTGGGTGGGAATGTGGTAGGTATTTTTTGCTTATCTTTGGTGTGCACACTACTATTCCTCAGTGGTCCTATTAACTTTCATAAGACTAAGCCTGTAGCGCCCTGTATTATAAATATCTCTCCCATTCCTATGGCCATCAGTCTCTGCCCAAGAATCAGATCATTGATCTCATGCTTTGCTATAGTTATAATATTCCTCTAGTAACATTCAATGAATATTTTCAAATATTTAATTTCTAATTTAATAAACAAAAAACAACAAATTGTACTGATAATATCAATAGAAAAAAAATTCTAAGGATTTTTTTGCTATGTTTTAACTTGTTTTCCCTACAGTGTCATGTAGTTTTTGATTGGATTTTGCAGTTGCTATATCTGGGTATTAAAATCTCAAAGAGGATAAGGAGGGACCTTTGGCAATTGTTGGGCTTTCCTTCCGCATCTTGACAAATCTTAGACTATCTCTGTGATTATAGCTGAGACAGGCTACAATCTGATTATATAGAGACTTCTTTTTTGCCATCAACCAGGATGTTGGAGGCTGGAACCTACTTTTGATATGAAAAAGAAAACATGGAGAGAAAGCTGTAACTCTTTTGAATCACACACCTCCCATACTTGCTCTCCTGTTTAAGCCATAATCCTTGGAGAGAGAGATGCCAACTAAAATTCCTTTCCTCTGTAACTTCCATTAGCTCCTAAACTAAATATTTCTTCTGTTATACAAAATCAAGATGTTCAGAGTATTTAGTGCATCATAGAATATAACTTGTTATGCAGGGATTTATCTCCCTTTCAAATTTGTAATTTTATAAAGGTCAATGTCAATTACATTGTCTGCCATACTGTTTAAATAATGGGGAACGAATTAACTCAGGTGTTTCTAATATTTTTACATTTTATTCTAAATTAGTTGTGCTTCTCAGGCTTGAAATCTATAATATACCAAGGATCCCACCTCTTGAGATCGAGGATGGGCTTAAAAGGGTAATTAAATCCTTTAATCTTCAGATGTAGGTCTTGGGAGAGAAGCAGCTACTATACCAGACCCCACCCTGTTCTGCTGTCCTCCATCTGGTGTATGGAGAAGCAGGCTGCCATAAACCCAGGGTCTGGGCCCTATTTCTAGATGAGGTCTGTGTGTGTCCCTTCCACATGGCAAGAGCTCTCCATATTAAAGAGGACACTAATTGTGTACCTCAGAATGAAGGCTACAATAATACTTACTGAGCTTATAGTGACTATGTTTCCAAAAGTTAGTATATACTCCTAGAGAAGTATGCATGGAAAGACACTAGATGCAAATAGAGCATACTAACTTACAGTTCTAGCTCAGGAGACACACCTGAATCTCAATCTAGCTGTGTTAATTTGAACAACATACTTTAGTTTGTTTCCTCAACTATAAAATGGTGGAAAATTTCTGTTTTGACTAGTAAATGAGGTAGTATGTGTTAAGCATCTTGTACGAACGCATAGAGAGTACTCAATAAACAGTAGCTAAACCTTTTAGAATTGTGTTTAACTGCAAGTAACAGGAAGCCTATTTTCAGAGGCGTATACTCTTTGTTTGAGTTTCATTTTCCTCATGTAATAAGAGTATGGGCTGGGTGCAGTGGCTCACGCCTGTAATCCTAGCACTCTGGGAGGCTGAGGCGGGAGGATCGCTCGATGTCAGGAGTTTGAGACCAGCCTGAGCAAGAGCATGAGACCCCATCTCTACAAAACATAGAAAAATTAGCCGGGCATCGTGGCGCACACATGTAATAAGAGTATGGGCTGGGTGCAGTGGCTCACGCCTGTAATCCTAGCACTCTGGGAGGCTGAGGCGGGAGGATCGCTCGATGTCAGGAGTAGGATTGCTTGAGCCCAGGAGTTTGAGGTTGCTGTGAGCTAGGCTGACACCATGGCACTCTAGCCTGGGCAACAGAGTGAGATTCTGTCTCAAAAAAAAAAAAAAAACAAGAGTACGGAAGGAGACAGCTCCTAGAGTTGATTCAGTGATGCTAGAACCAGCACCTCTGTCATTCTCTGGGCTTTTTACTAAAGATTGCAAAATAGCTGTCATGGGTCTATGCATTGCATAGTTTATTAGGGAAAACAAAAGTCTTCTCAGAGACCTATAAGAATTACCCTCACGTCTCATTGGCCAAAACTGTCTAATGTAGCTGCAAGAGAGTA